CATTGGTGATAGAATCTGATGCACTTGATTGCAAAGAATCAAGTCTATCCAAAGATAATGTCAACTCAGTATCAGCGGATGCAGGTTTGACATTGGGAAAACGCGCGGGAGGAATGGGAAATGACAATGATTCCTCTGTGAAAGCGGCATTGGAATCGATAGACTGAGACGAGAGCTGCGCGTTCGAAGCGAGTTGTTTTGAAGAAGCGGTAGACGAATAAGATTCGCGGGACGATTGATCACCAAAGAGAGTTGATTGTGACGCTTGTGATGCAGTGTTTATTTTTGAAGAAATTTTGGATAGAGTTTCTGATTGTGCCTGTCATCAAAGATTTGTTATTATTTGATCGAAATTTAAAAGAGATTGAGCGAGCAAACAATCAAAAAGGTAATATTTTCAAACTCGGAATCGATGACGCTCATTCGTACCTGTTCAATGTCGTCATCTTTATTATCATTATCAATCAAGTCCTTTAATTCTTGGGGAGGAGGCATATTTTCTCCAGCAAATGGGGCCCATTCTTTCATTTTCGTGATATTTGGTCCGCATTTCTTCAACGAATCATTAAACGACGCAAACTGTGCCTCGGCCAGACGACACACTATCTGCGCTATCATTGAATATGCTCGCTTCTCTCGTTGGGTAAGCTGAATTGCATATTCCTTACGTTTTTGGGCAATCTCTGCGCCAAGTGACGTCAGCGTAGATATATATTTCTATGTAAAGAATGTTACGATGAGCAAAACTAACTTTAATTTGGTGAGGAAAAAAAAATGGTCTACCTACTTCATGGGATTCAACGGCAGCCTTGTTATCCCTCTTTGATTGTTTTTCATAGTCCTTGCCAGTCTTTTTTATTAGTTTGTCGAGATCGGTCACGTTGTTATCATGAGCTCGCTCATCTTTCTTTTAAGAATTTCAATGGTATTTTGAGACATTCATATTCACAATTGCACGAATCCATAATGAATGTTAATAACCAGATTAGCGTGAATCATACGATTGACCTTGTGTTACTTACGATTGCTTTCTTGGAATATTTGTCCCAAAACTTCATGAGAATGTCAAAGTCCTTTTGTAAAACTTTGTACTATCATAGATTGTCCCCTGTTAGTTCGATGCTGTCACCTTTGGACTAGACTAACAAAAAACAGCACTCAACGACGACTTACGAGCCTTCCTTGAACATCAGCCAAGCCATCATAAAACTGCGACGTCGACTGAAGACACATGACTGGGAATGTCGATGTCTGTTAGATTTGATCATAATCTTTTCTTCCTATACTATGGTTTCCTGTTCTGTAATTCCATCAAAACGCTTACCATGTCGCTCTTCCATGCCTTTACAGTGTCCATACTCTTTTAGCGCCTTACTAAAAGCTTTCGAAGCTTTTGTCAGTCTGGTTATTAAATCACGGTACGTATCAGCAGCCGACACGAGCCGTTCAAGTGCGTCGACTGATTTGCTGACATTCGCACGGTCAAATAAACCGTCGGGATCAGTTGTGGTCAAAGAAAGAACGGAGTGATTTGTCGTTGGTGATAATACTGGAGAGCGCGGAGGAGAAACGAAGAATGAAAAGCGTTTTTTCTTTTGTTGTGAAGTCATGAGTATTTAGTTATGGAGAATTGAGGTGACAAACGTCAAGTCTTGATTGTTAGGAATGAATTAATGTCATTAGACAGAGTGTTTTGCTTTACTGCAAAGTGTAAATACAGTATCACAACCAAGAATCGATAACTGAAAAAACGCTTTGGCTCGTTTGACACACTTATCATTAACCAAACTGACAGCGCTTTGTTTTCACCACTCTTAAACCGTTAATTTTACGATTTCCAGAAGAAATAAATGATCATGAGTTCAACATGGTCGACTCTCGTACTAAGTACATTCGCCCCCCTCGCGTACAACGTCTCCTCCTTAATTCAACATGCCTTATTTGGATAGGGGGTGTCTCACTAACATTAACGCTAGTACTAATATTAATGGAGTTACAAATTCGGGAATTTAATACTAAATAAAGTTTTCTACACAATATTCAACCCCCGAAATAATTAATGAGTATTACCGCTCCGTTTAGCACGAGGTTTTGATGCACGACACGATTTGATATTTTGAGAGTAGTGCTGGTATGTGACAGGGATGCAGCTTTATACTTATGGTAATGATGCCAAAATTAAGACTCTTCGAGAATTTACGATTCTTCTTTCAGGGGTCTTATTCAAAATTTAATTTTGACAGTGTTATTACCATTTATATTAAAGAGTTTAGTAAATGATGTAACCGATCTTCTTAATTAATTCGAGAGAATGTCTGCCGATCATTGTGCAACTTTTGCTGACGCGTTTGACCAATAAAACTTTTCAACCACTCCGTTACTCTTCTTTTAGAAGAGGGAATAATGGTCCCAGGTATTTTTGAAACCAAATATTTGTTCTATTCGGACAAATTCTCAGTATACCCTGAGCGCCGAGTCCCGTTCATATTCCTTCCCTGTTAAGACGTCCGCACACTGCCAGCGTAGCCTGCGATGTTAGCAAATTTAAGACTTTGTTGACGAAAAAGGGTTTGGTCAGTAGACGCGCATTCTTCGGATGGTCCGCCCTCGTTGCCAAAATGGAACGACCTGAGACACTCCTGCCACATTTCGACGTTGGCTTTTTCCTTAATCGATGATCAGTAGGCCCATTCTTCGAGCTTCAGTGGTTTGTCTTCGCCATTAACTATATAAGAATAGTCAATCTGTCATGCAGTATTTATCCGAGCACTCAGGTAACAACGCAATAGCAAATCGGAAGAATCCAGAATTCGATCAAGAGTAGTCACTTCAAGAGGATCTGTCAGTAGGACACTATGTAAACTAAACGAATGTAACAGCATTAACATACTTTTATAATGCGTTGGCGTATTCTTTTTCTACTTTGTGAAAAGAGTGTCGATTCCAGTTACTAGCTGATGATAAATAACAACGATACATCAAAGGGAGATATAATGCATTAAAGACAAGTATACTGGTCCTTAGATCATCTCGCTTAACGAGAATGATCATCTTCTACGCTCGTCTAGTCATAATCAGGTTTGATCGGGCAAAATCGTAATACAGGCAGTAATATGCAAATTGTTTAAAAGTTCTCTGTTCTTTTTGTTATCGTTATCTATCGTCATTCTTCTCTTTGTATTGTTCAACCTGAAGTGGTAAAATTTTTAAGCGATATTCGCCTATTTTTAAAACGCGTTTACAATTTAATGTATAAATGTCATTAGCCATATCTTATTTTTGTAAGGAATGAGAATATAGAACTGTCATGATGAAACAAATGATAAACGCCCCGAAAGAAAACAAACCCAAGAACTGTGGTCCGAGCTTTATGTACTATAAAAGAGAATGTAATCTAGTGTATGTATTATTGAAATTCTTCTAGTGATATCTGCGAGCTCTCATACAATTCTGCCGTTCTAAGTATCGCTGGAGTGATTCCAGCTTTATAGCCACATCCAATTTCTATTAAGCTGCCTATCTGACTCACGACTGTTTGAACGTCGACTTGGTTCTACTCGAGAAAAATTTACAGGGTTATAATCTCACACTGACAAACCACTTTTTCCCTTTTCACTCGAAATATCTTACCGTTAGATTGACATGAAACACGGGAATGTTTCTATAAATCTTACTGATAAAATAATCTAATTCAGCGCGTTCGAATGTATACTGCGTAATCCTCTCAACTGTTTGATGTGGTGTTAGTAAATCAGTACTAATTTATTATATGCAATGGTAACGTTCTCTTCTTACCTTGAGTGACTACAACGCCGCACCTCCCAAGGAAGTACTCTTCATCCAATTGCTTTACTGAATTCCTAAACACTTCGTAACTGTCTGCTTGTACCATGGATAACATGAATAGGACGAAATCTATTCTAGGACGAGGCGTTGATATGGATGGAAGAGGAAGAGACTCTGCTGTTCGACTGTTAAAAGATGTGATAAAAACTTGAACTAAATACGAATAAAATATGCATAGCAATTCCTAAAAACACACATGCGAATCGTCATCTCTTTCGCCAACAAGTTTATCATGTGTTCACCAAAGTTCGTCTTCTCGACGCTCGGTGGCCCTACAATCTGTATTTGCAATATGAAGCATGATTTGCACACAAAAGCTCGTATCTGAATATGAACCATTCATTCAATGACTGACCAACACCGTAGCATTAGGTTGAATTTCCGAGGGCGGTAACTTGTTAAATGGAAACAACGCGTCACTCATCGTTATCTATGCGCCTGTCCCGCAAACGGTGATGTGTTTTGAATTTTCTAGATTCGAGATTTTAAACCTGCTTTTCTTGTGTTATTACCACTTTTGTCTTTTTGTGGCATTTTGTATGGCATGGGGTGGGCAAGCGAATAGACTTGTACTGTCCCATGCGAGTAAATGATTTATTACTGATAGATACGCTCAATATCTACCAAGTTATGGGTGCTCGGGTATCCGTTCAATGAGTCCATTTTATCAACACGTCAGCTATAAATTCGACAATTCGGAAATTCTTGCCGGACACAAGGATTAATAAACGTGAAAGACTACTCGCGTACAATTCAGCAAATGAAAGCTAAAAACCGGAAACGCACTAACGATAACAACAAGTTTTCGTCTCATGTTTCGCCCAAGAAGCAGAAGGCCAGTGACAAGGACTCTCGAGAGTCGAATACACGATCTAGTCGAACAATTTCTCCCAGAAATAATACCGCAATGCCGGATAAGTTCGATACGAGATTGCTACCCAAGATAGTGTGGGTGATGTATGAAACCGAAGGACTTTGGTGGCCTGGGGAGGTAAGCCGGCAACGCGCTTGTAACTTTCTGCGAGTCGCAACTTTATCTTTGTATGGACATTGGTCCACCATTACTATGCCTGAGAGTTGAGTGCTTCATTTATTATAGATAATAAACGAGGACAAGTCTGAAATTCCTCTCAAAGTAAAATGCTTCGTTGGGATAAGACCAAAGTCTGTAGTATATGCAACATTTTTTTTCATTCACAAAGCGTGTATAGACTAACTTCTATCATTCGAAACAAAGCACAGTAGAAATTTCCGATCCATCTTCAGAGTGCATCGTCCCCTTTCATCATTCGTTATCGTCCACATTTTACGAAGATGGAATAAAGTCTAGTCGAAAAAAAGAATTTTTAAGGGCTTTTGAACTGGCTCAAGAGAAAGATGTCGAGGATAACGATGGATTACCTAGCGCAGATTGGGCAATACAAACTGTGGCCTCTCCTAAGAAGCAGAAACTGCAAAGGAAAAATATAGGTCGGTTGATTATAGAAAACCCATTCGAGAAGGATAAGTTGCATCGCATTGCATGTCAGTAGGATTGTCGCTTCCTGATCTGATTTATTGGTGTTTTGGGATCTTGTCTGTTTCATAGGAATGAATGGAAGTAAGAACGACAAGCTTATAGCGGTTGGACAATCAAACGATGAGTAAGTTAAATGTAAAAGTGAATGATTGCTGTAAGAAATTAAGTTTTAATTTTCGTTGACTTTTGTCATTTTCTGCTACAAGCAAGATGCAAGACGGTGATGCTACCGAGATATCAAAGTTGGATACGAGGTGAAGTATCAGTTGATAATTAATTGATGGCATTGGTGGTATTTGCATAAATTATAAAATTTAATTGACCAACTCAACCAGTTTGAAGATACCGGGTGAACCGGTCTTGGCACATTATCGAAAGAATAAATTATATTATCCAGCAAGAATAGATGAATACAGAGAGGTAATTGATCTTTCAACGTGTTTTTCGTTTCATTATTTGAAGAAACTTACATGACATCTCTTAGCCGAATAAATATCGAATAACTTTCCTCGATGGATCACACAACACCTGCAGACGTGATGAATTCTACACAAAATATGAGAAAAAATTCCAAACTTGTCCGGTAACATGACCTCTTGTAGAATTCGCAGGGAAGTGACTGTTCTATCGGTAGGTCCGATTGACATGCATTTTTCTGATTACTTGCAGCTAGGACTCTTCACAGTCGACGAAGAAGACCCTAACTACTACGATTCAGATCTCCATAAAATGGTCGAAGAACTTGCTCCCATACTCTGTCGAGTGGCATCAGGAAATGAGAGTGTCGCTTGGAGATACAAGAATTTCATTGAGGGGGGCAAGGCGCGTCAACGATTAGCGTCAAGTGTTTCTCACGGTCCATTCGCATTGTCAGAAATTGGATTCATAGCGAAATTACTCCGTGCAATGTTTGTTCCAGAGGTTGCAGCATCAATTGACGAAAAGATAAACTCTGAGGACTTACCTTCGACTGTCACAGCACAAATCGATAAAAATAGTCCGTTCCACGAATTTTCGAACGAACTGAAATTACGCTTCGTTCATGATGTCTTAGTACCAGAGACTATAACGCGTTTGATTATGAATCATGAAGAAGTAAGCTATGAGGAAGCTGAGCACATGGTGGTTCATGAATATGAAGACGTAGGGTGGGTAGAAACCCTTTTGTCGACAAGAGAATCGTTTCGGACAGGATTACAAAGTTTACGAGAGAAGAAAAAACGTTAAAATGTATGGACTCGCCTGCCGGTATTTAATGATGGAGTAGATCCACGATAAGCTATTAATATAACGATTTGTTGGTTATGAAAGCTTTGGCTTAAACCCTTTGTATTAATTGATTTTTCGCCTTTTTTTTAATAACGCAGTTCTGTATTATTGATATCGCATTCTCAGAAAACATAATAATTCAAATCATTGTTTTCATCCAACACTGTCAAAAAGGCGCTGTCATAATGAGTCTTATTCTGCCGAAACGTTAATCGGTTCGATCATTCTATGGGCAATCTTACATGTTGCTATTCGATGAACTTCAACATGCTCTTTGAAAGATCTTTTACTGTGATGACTTTTGGTTAATCATAGTAGTTTTTCATTAAGGAACTTCTTTTGATAAATAATATTGTTTTGAACTTAATATTAATGTTTCAAAGTAAGCTTACCTTAACATTAGTCGGCATGTTGAAAAATATTTGGGCATAGCAGTGAAAATTTTCTAGCTACAGGAGTTTTTTTTTGTTAATATCTTGCAGTACTTATATGCCTATTTCAAAAGTCGTTGGACAATACATTTAAGGTTAATTAATTGTTATATTGACAATCTGTATGAATTTTGTAAAAATGAGGTTTCAATTTACTTCTTTTTTGGATTAAGGATTGTCTAACTATTACTAAATAATATTGCTATTCAACATGACATATCACCACCACGTCTTTTGCATTCATTTCTGTAACCCTTAAGTAATTTCTTGAAACTCAAAGATATGAGGAAGTTTGCACAGAAGAAGGGCCTTTGCATTGCAACTGAATATTAATATTTTGATAGACAAGTTTCTCCTGAATGGCAGTGTATTAAGGGACATGGGAGGCGTTGGCTAAAAATATTATTAAATAAACTCGGTCTTAGTCTCAGCAATGCCACTTCTCAGCATTAAAATATTGTAATTGCACAAAAGTAAGGTGGTTAAATGTCTTTCTAAAGAATATGTTACTCTACATATTAAATGCGGAAACGCATACACTCTTACATTGAATGGCGGAACCGAAAAGCGCGCATGAAAATAGTCAATAGAAGGTTTGACACACTACTTGTTCCCAGCGACAAGTTATTAATAAAAGCTTATTATTATAGATCTATAAATAGTTGTCAAATTTATTGTAATTATAATGCTTTGAGGATGCATCAAAGGCCATAATAGTCTACAACTCCTTTTCGAATAAAAGGTCTTAGTTTCCATAAGACCGCAAAGAAAATTATCAGCACATTGTGAGTAGCCACCTAGTAAACCGGTTCAGAAGAACAATAGCAAATTGTTAAATAAAACTAACACGTTCCCTATTTTGCCTACAATAAACATGACCACACTGAGACAAATAAATAAAACTAGAAGAAGAAAGGCAGTAGCTGGGGGAACATTAGAAATTGAAAGAGATGAAGTAGCCAAATTTCAAGAAAAAGTCTGAGGAGAGGCAAAATAAAGACTCTTAAGTAATATAGCCAAATTAGAAAAAGAAAACAATCAACTAGGCTAAACCTCTGAGAAGATTGAACAAGGAATTAATTGATGTCAAACTTAATTTATTATTATGAGATAAAGTAAAAAAAGCTTGGCTTTTTATTGATAATAGCTTTGTGTTTCTAGCTTTTGTTTCTTTCTTGGTTCATCATGTGTTTGTGTTAATGCTCGTTTATTAGTTATGGTTTTCCTTTCCTGGTAAATTTTATAAGCAATTTTTTCTTGATCTAAATATTCTTTGAGAATTTTATATCTTAGTATTAGGGTCATTTATTTTAAAAACATATGGAGCAATATTTTTCCCTTGATATTGAGCTTTCTTCAGAATGCTTCTAATAGTAATAGTGATGTAATTTTTTGGTTCCATAGTAATAAGTAATAGTGGATGTGATGTAAATTAGTTTCATATTATAATATACAGACATAGTAATAGTATAAGTAATAGGCATATTATTACTATATTAATATATGAAATTATTACTATTATAATGATTGCCAGTAAAACATTTATTATGAATTAATAAATGGCCACAATGTGCCACTAATACTAAATTGAGGCTAAAAACGTCAATTCCCCGCCACATCAGCCTCTCATAAGAGAATGTTCACTCTGTCCGGTTTTGTTACAGTATGCTCCATATTAATATATAATGTTGGGTATACTACTTCTCCACGATGAAACAGAAGCTCCTGTCATTGATAATGCGTCCATTGGCCAAAGATCCTGCAGCATCTTCTAACTTTCACATAGACACATCATATACCTCTGGCAATGCAGGATAGTTTTCAGCAGTTGGAAATAGTATTGATTTATCTGAGAAAAGAATTATCTCTTAGATAAGTTGTTTTATCTGATATCAATGGCTCATGGTGCATAACGATTACCCAAGGATAATATTCCAAAGCATACTAATACTACTATAATAATAGTACATAGATAGTGTCCTAGAGTGCGTTATCAAACGAGTCGTCCAACAAATCGCTCTGTCCCACGAACGTTGTAACTTGTGTATCCAATCCAATATATATCATCCAATAGAATTACATTACTTCATTACAATCTCTACAATATCGTTTCTTGTCCGGAAACCATTTCTGTTCACCTCTCACAGTTTGTTCTGCTGTCGCTCATAAGTCTGACGAACTTCTATTGTGTTCAGAAGTAGTAAAGCGTTATTTTCTAATATAGGAATGGCTAGGGGTAAGCAGAAGGTATGTTTGAACATTGATTGAAGCAAGAAGATACGAGGCGATCAAATGGAAGTTGGTTTCTAAGGGGCTGAATGAAGGGATTTTCGGGAACATTGTTTTAAGCGTGAAGTCATACTTACTGACATAATGATTATATGTTGAATACACAGGAACAAGCAAGGTATAGCGGATGAGCTCTGTTACTATATAAAAATAAAATAAAATCGTTAAGTAAATGCATTTTATCGGTGACTTATCACAGAGAAAAAGCACAGAAACTAGCCGAGACAAGACAAGGTGGGAAGTCACAGCTGGCAGCGCGCGCGGCTGGACTTCAATTGAAATGTCCTGTTTGTAAAGTGAGTTGATAACGGTTGATAATACTAAGAATAAGAATATAAGCGAAATCTTGAGATATTTACTGATCAAAATTCTTTTGCTGTCATACTTTATACTATGAATTTTATCTATTACGACATAGACACCAGCCGCCAATTACAAGATTATTGTTAAACACATGGAGGTAAACGTTAGACGAATAGTCGACTTGGTCGAACTTACAATTTATGCATAAACTTTAGATCTTTTGAACTAATATCAATTATACAATATGCAGTAATAACTGATGACATCTAGAATTACCAACCCAAGCATCGAACAGATGTCTCCTCTATTCATACAATTTTTCTTTATTTTGCTTACTTACTTTTATTATTTATTTATTATAACAGGCTAAACATCCAAAGGAATCTATACCACCTGAATCGGCTTTCCAAAGTTAAAAGCTAACTATTACAAGTGCCCCTTCATGAGAATGGCGATTGAAATATACCAAATTGTTTTGAATAATGGGCAAACTGAAATGAGCACTAGCAAATATTGGTAAAATTTATATATGTGGTATGCTGCAACAAATGTTTACTTGGTAGATATTGTTATTGCATGCTATGATAGTTAGTGTGTCAATTGTAATAATAGATAGTAATAGTGACAAAATATTGCTTTTGTTTGAAAAAGTTAGAAATGCGATTAAAATACTTTATCAAATAAATTATTATTCCACCAACATAACACATAAGGTTTTCACAAATTTAATAATTTAAATTGTTATTATTCATTAATCAGATTGACTGAATCGCAGTTATCGATAAATTTTTGCGGCCTACTGCCAAAAATTGATATCGCTTGTGATAACTTTTAGGATGAGATAAAATTGCTTACTCGATACTATCCGCCCAACAAAAACGAGACATTAGATCCGGAAAAGCTATCATACCATCAATGCATATTAATAACATACGTGTATTAAACCTCTTTGATGCAGAAAACTTTAAATACAATCGACATCTATTGCTTCATGATATCCTCCAGAAAAGGAAATGGGACCCGACAGGTGCGTTATGCATATTCTCTACTGAAGAGCTAGCAAAGTGGGTATAACTTCAAATCAATGTTCAATATTATCATGTCAACTATTGCGACAAAAATCGTCAAAATACAATCTTATTCCAGAAATGAGCATATCGGAACTCACTCAGTATACTTACAAGTTGTTAACGAATTTGCGGGTGACAGAAAGAGGACTCAAGCACGAAGGCGCCTCCCAGATTATTTCAAATTCAGACCTACTCAAAAAAGTGGCCGCCGAGAAGTTATAAATTTCGTAGCGTTAGACAAGAATAAGTCGGAAGAAACCATCAAAGACTTAGCACAACGAATTTTACGAGACAAACTTAGTTAAAGGCCGAAGCATTAAAGTTAGCTAAGTCAGTGTTGAATAAAATGCTGAGTCTTCTGGGCTCTCTCGGCTTTGGTGAGAATTATTGCTTCCTATATTATTAATGTATTGTAAGATTAAAGAAAAAATCGATGAATTAACAGATTTAGGAAAATTTTATTACTGAGCACGTATCAAGCAATATAAAAACAACTAATAAATCATTTGTTGTAATGCCTAACAGTTTGTTGATGGAATGCTGAATTTCGGACCGTAATAAAGTTTTCATTATAACAACAATTGGTAACCAAATAGTCTGCTCTGACAAATTTTCGTGCCTACTTCTTATCATAAACAGATAATTTGCTTACAATGATTGGTCAAACGCTTGGAACAAGGATCTATTCCAAGAATGGTCTAACATAACATGACCAAATAATTCAAAGATGGTAACGTACATCACTGACTGTGCAGTATTTTCCTGAATTGTTTAATAATTACCTATATACGTAAGACAATACGATCAGATTATTGCAAAACGCCCTTTATGAAATAATAAACTAAACTGGATGAAACAATGACTTTTTAGATTCGGGCAAAGTAGATAGGAAACTTACTGATTAGATGCAAGCTTGTAAAATAGCTTTTCTGACTTTGGAGTCCAATTGTCTCAAACGGATTCCATG